TATTAACGCCCGACTGGACGTGTTAAAATTTGCCATAAATTAAAATTCATTTATTTGACAAATATCTCTCAAATCAACTAATAGTATCGGTAGCTAAGTAGCAAAGGGGTAGAATTTAACAGGCTATAGATTCGAGATGGAAGTTATGGTGATCGTGCTAAAAACAAATTTATGAAAGACTTTTATTTTCTCAGGCTAGTAGGGTTTTGGCAGGGCTGACAACTTTCACTCACAGTCAGTCCTGCATGTCTAGCTAATTTTACCGTGAGTTTCAAACACTGCATGTATTACGGGATCTGTTGATTTATGTGTTCTTTAGGCTGTGCTTTGAACTTTCTTTAATTAAAATTTATTTAAATGTACATGACTAATATATCACTATCTTTTTTTATATTATGTGTATCATTTAATTTAGCACAATTTTTGATAAAAATTTTTAATGAATCTATAAGGTTGAATATGTGTTTGTTTGATTGAAACTTGGTTTTAGTTGAGACTGCAGAGGCAAGATATTTTACCACTTGATTGTTTTTAGATAATTTAAATGATAGGTTTTGAGCATTTAAAATGCTTTGCACAGTATATATCCCAGATACATGTATGTAGCCTTTATCAATAATTTCACAATGGAAAATTTTGTATTATGCATAGAAGAAAAATGTTAAGTAGAAGGTTGTTAATGCTACCAGTAAAATAAAATTTGTTAAAGCACAATACTGTTAAACATGATTATATTTGCAAATTCATGCTTACAACGAAGTTATATGTAATCATCCAGTGCTTGAAAAAATGAATAATTAGCTGGACATAACCAATTATGTATGTAACCAAGCATATTCTGCTTGACAATCTCAATAATTGTGTTTAACCATACATTTTGGGTTTTGTTTGTTTTTTGTATACAATTTAAGTTTATTAAAGACTATGAGTGCTGTTCCTGTGTTATTGGATGCTCAATTTCTTGAAAACAGCTTTAATTTGTTTTAAATTTGAACATATAAATTATTTTGACCATTTTATTATTTCTTTTGTAGTAATATTTTGATAGATGTACTTGAAAATATGTACATTTTTTTTTAATTCATGCTTACAACGAAGTTATATTTAATCATCCAGAGCTAGAAAAAAATGAATAATGAATTGGATATAACTAATTACGTATGTAACCAAACAAATTCTGCTGTCCTTGATGATGTCAATACTGGTAATTGTGTTTAACCATACATTTTTGTTTGTTTGTTTGTTTTTTTTTTCTTTTCCCCCCTTTTTTGTATACAATGTAGGTTTAAAACTATGCATACTGTTCCTGTGTCATTGTATGCTAAATTTCTTGAAAGCTTTAATTTTTTTGAATTTGAATGTACCTATCAATTATAGATGTATTGGAAAACATGTACCTTTTTTTTTTAATGAAAGGAAACAATGATGTTTTTTAAATAAAATATTTTTGTAAAGTTTTCTTTATTAGACAAAGCTCCACATGTAATATTAAGTGATCTTGATGTAGTAATTATGAATTTCCTAATTTTTGAACTTTTTTACCACCATTAATTTATATACTAGTCTACATTTAGTATTAGATTTTCATGTAGTTAATTGTTAATGTTTGTTAGAAATCCTTTATATGTTACTGTTAAATATTCATTGATCGATAAAATTTTACAGTGAATGAAATTTTTGTTATTATGTCTGTCTAGTCATCCAGCTGTTGTTTCTGTAATCAGCGGATATCAATCCTATAAATTTTTAGTATTCAACACTTTGTATTAAATCTTAGTCCATATGACTATGCATTAGAGTTTATGAAATAAATAGGACTTACAAAATGCCTTTTTTCTCTGTATTTTATGATGTACCTTTATTGGTGGGATAAGAATGTTAATGTTATTATAAATTATTATATAGAATGAAAATCAAAGAAAAATGTTAAAAAAAACTGTAAGAAATGAAATTGTGATAAAGAAATCCCATACATGTATTTAATGATTGGAAATTATTTATATCATTTGTTTTTGTATCCCATCACAAAACACTAGGGTAAAAAAATACACAACTCATGAATAACTGTATATTTACCATTTAGTAAACACTGAAGCTCTTGCACAAGAAGACTTTTCATTTACATATTTGTGAAGCTTGCTTGCTTATTTTGACTGATATTCAACAAGCTGCACTTTACCTTTATCTTTAACAAGAACAAAAATTTCATTTTCATCAATGAATTCAAGTTACACTTTTAAAAATTTTATAGATTTCTTGAAAGTAAAACTTTGCAAATGGAAGCATTCCAACCCACCAAAATATTAGTCTTGAAGTATTGATTGTGAACCTTTTGTTTTTCACCTATGCAGGTTTTATGTTTACAAATTACAGTGTGCATGTATATTAGCATAGTTTTACATGTATGGTAAAATGCTTGTTAGATACTAGTACCTGTAACAGTTGTGCTGACTTGAAATTGGCTGCTGGTCTGTGGATTTGAAACAAAATACAACAAAAGCTTTATCACCAAAGACATCTCGGTGTGAAATACTGTAACATAGTGTAGGATGTATAACTTGTATCACTGATGTTTTCCTTTGCCCAGCAGAATTTTTCACATCATGCTGCATACACAAAAGCTTGCCCAAGTATTTTATGTATTCTATCTGTTTTTGAATTTGTTGAGAAATATATACCATACAGTAAAATATTTGTTATAGAAAACCTGGTTATGGCAGAGAATAGTTGCTTATAGAGATTATTTGTTGCCTTTGTTTATCGTAGAATAGAGAAATATTTACTTTATGTAATAGGTGTATTCCGTTGGGTGTCTGTAGATGTAATATGGACTTTGTTTTATTTAAAATTTATTTACATGCAATATAAATCATGTGTGTCATATAGCAGCTATTATCTGGAAAAAAAAAACAATGTATAAATTAATTTGAAAGTCTTGAGAATGTTGAAAAAAGTTTCTGTGAATTGTAGAATGTTGGTAATAAATATATCCTAAGCAGATGGAATTTTCAACTTATTTTTAATTTTTTTTTTTTTTTTTTGATGCACATGAGTCAGAGGCTCAAGTAATTTTTAGTTAAAGTTAAAGACATAAAACAGATCACCAACACTTCATGAGAATGCATTTTGACAAAGTGACTTGGTGATCTGTTTTATGTCTTTAAAACTTTAGATACAGACCCTTTCAAATACCTTTCAGTATCCACACCTGGAATCTTCCGCAAGTTTAACCTCAAAGTGTTGGTTTCCAGTTTTTAGCTCTACTGGTCAGAGACCAGGCCTAGAGGTTATAAAACTTTCTGAGTACGTACTCCGTGCTCAAACTCATTCTCTGTACTCCAAAACCATACTCATGCTGCAAACTTCCACTCTAAGTTGTATATAAATTTGGAGTATGTTTATGGTATCGGAGAACGGAGTATGAGTTTGAGCATGGAGTATGTACTCAAAAAATTTTATAAACTCCAGGCCAGAAGAGCTTTTGCAATAGTAAGGTGTCCATCCGTCTGTCTGTCCGTCAGTCTGTAAACAATTTTTCAGAACGCTACTCCTCCTACAGTTTTGGTCGGATTTCAATATAACTTGGCAAAAAAGTAGACTACACTAAGATACATAATTCTATGTATAGGTTTTTGATTTCAATGAATGTTGTTGCCATGGTTACTAAAAATAGAAATTTCTGTGAAATACATTCAAAATAGTTCTCCTACAGTTTTGGTCTGATTTCAATATAACTTTGCACACAAGTAGACTACACTAAGATACATAATTCTATTTATCGGTTTCTTATTTCAATGAACAGTGCTGCCATGGTTACTAAAAATAGAAATTTCTGTGTGAAATACATTCATAATGCTACTCCTCCTACAGTTTTGGTCTGATTTCAATATAACTTGGCACACAAGTAGACTACACTAAGATTCATAATTATATGTATCGGTTTTTGATTTCGATGAACGGTGTTGCCATGGTTTCTAAAAATAGAAATTTCTGTGAAATACATTCTAAATGCTACTCCTCCTGCAGTTTTGGTCTAATTTCAATATAACTTGGCACACAAGTAGACTATACTAAGATATGTTATTCTGTATATCGGTTTTTGATTTATGGTGAACAGTATTGCTATGGTTACTAAAAATAGAAATTTCTGTGAAAAACTTTAAAAATGCTATTCTTTCCACAGTTTTGGTCTGCTTTCAAAATAACTTGGCACACAAGTAGACTACACTAAGATACATAATTCTGTCTATCAATTTTTTTGATTTTGGTGTAGTGTTGCCATGGTTACAAAAAAAATGAATTTCTTTGATATACTTTCGAAACATTACTTCGTCTACAGTTTGGTCTGATTTTAATATAACATGGCATGCAAATAGACTACACTTAAATACATAATTGTCTTGATTGTTTTTTGATTTTAATAAATAATGTTGCCATGGTAACTAAAATTGAAATTTCTCTAAAATTCTTTTAAAAGGCTACTCCTTATACAGTTTTAGTCTGCTTGCAATTCATCTTGCCACAAAAAGAGAGTAAAACAAGGATTACTATTTATTTATTGCTGTTGCAAAGTTTCAAGTCCAAATGCTACTTTTCTCTTCCTTTATTGTTCTAAATACAAACCAGTAGAGCTACAGTCTCGGCAGAGACTTCTGGTTCTTTGTTTAGTTTAATTTGATAAAGTCAAGATAAGCTTATGCTATACCCTGTCTTGTTAAAGTTTAAAGAACAAGTCCATTCCCAAGTAATTTCATGTATAAGCTAGCCTGATGGGACTAAACTTGCATGAATGAATGAATTTAATTGACCTTTAGAGAAAAAAAAAAAACGTCTTAATCTCATTGTCC